GGATCGCGAGGGCGCCGGCGCGGAGGAGCGCCGGGGAGGCGGCCGGCGACGGCGAGGGGAGGGCATTTCGCGCCATTTTTCTTCCTCCTCGCTGCCGGGCAGAGCAAAAGGTGGTGGTGGTGAGCGAGTGAGGGAAGCGGGAGGACGGTGGCTCCTTCTTATAACCCGAAAAAGGGTGTCATTGGATTCCAGAGAATGGGCCAACTAGACGACGCCACGTGGACGAGGCAGTACGATTTGGTGGTACTGCGCTCGGGTTCCAATTCCAATGCAATCGCGCGCCTTGACCGGTTCGTCTCGGGTCTGTGGATAATCGTCGGGTCGGATGGCCCGAGTTATTCATGGGGTGCTCAAAACTCGAGTTCTCTCAACTTGTCTGACTATTCCTGGCCCAACGGAAAAACTTATCCACGCTATTCAAAATCGATACCCGGGGACAGATCTTAGCGACAAATGGATCAGAAAAGACACTTGGGCAAAATATTCAACTTACAAAGAGATATAATAAAGTGATTTATGAAATAATACATTACGTAATATTTAAAATCTTAATAAATGTCGAACTATTAGGATACGAGCTTTTGCCAAGTCAGCTTTGTATCCTCCCTTTCATTATGCTCAATTTAATTCATATTATTGGAATAGCTCGAATAAGGGCCAGTTTGGGCAAATTTTTTACTTTCTACTTTTAATGGTTAATACCACGAAAAATCTCAAATTAGTACAAGTGTGATAAGTTTACCACCAAAAATCCCAAACCGGTACATCTAGGACTAATTACCCTCCGTTAGTTTCCGTTAAATTTTACCCCAAATTGTTGAGTTGGATGACAAGTGACAGTTAACGGGTGTACCAGTTTGGAGTTGTACCCTCCGTTTGTCCCAGTTTTGTGGTTTTTATTGGTATTAATTCAATTTAATGAAAACTAACGGAAGGTAAATTCGTCACAAATGTATCAATTTGGAGTTTTTGGTGGTAAAAAAATTAGTTTTTGATAAATTTACCATAAGTGCACCAGTTTGGAGTTTTTCGTGGTATTAACCCCACTTTTAAATAGCGAATCTTCAAAGCACGTAAAGTTTGAAGTTTATTACCGAGTATCGTTAGTATTTGTTAAGCAATCAAATTAAACAAGTTACAAGTTCTAACGCATTACTTTTTCTAATGGGTAATCCATACTTTAAAAAATCAAAAATATTTATGATTACATATATACTTGATAAATACTCCAAAAATATTGGTTAACAGCAATAGCAATCGTACAATATCTCGCACCGCCTCGGGGCTTTGGAAAGCAAAGCAAAAGGAAGAACAAAAGAGGTTGGATTGAAGGGACGGACCCAAAATCTAAGGAGGGGGCGAAGAGTCAAAAGCAAGGAATGATTGACAGCATGTGGTCCACCGACGTATTGATGAGCGACACGTGGCGAGGGAGGAGTCCCCCCCTCGGCGGTGGGCTCCACGAGCGTAGGGAATCGCCACCTCCTGATGGACGGATTTGTCGCGGGAATGATTGTGAAGCGTCGGATGGTGCATTGACCCGGGCTGTAATCATGCGTCATTACTGCTTCGGTGGGTGATCTACCAATCGGAGGTGGGAGGGAGACATGTGAATTCTTGTTGAAAAACTATTTAATAATGTCATGTCCGAAAAGGACCAAGATTAAGTTGTAAGGATCCAGTTGGACGAGAGTGAAAAGTGGTCACTAGAGCCAGAAAATTTGGATAAGAAGCAGTTCCTGGCAGATTTCTCGGATAACAAAGAGGACAAAAATGAACCGAACTTTGCACTAGATATGAAGAGAGCAATTATGAAACATATATGTAGTAACTGAAATTAACTTTTGAAAGAGTATTTTGCCATAATGATAATACTTAATTTTATAACACCAAAGTTACTAGTGCTCGTGTGGGATCAGTCCTAAAATGGGTGACCTTTTGGGCCAAAGGACAAAATCCTTAAGCTCGGTATAGAACGGGTCAAAGTGGACAATACATCGAATGAGTTAATCTAGGATGTTACATAAGTTGTTTGTGAGGGCAAGTGTGGAATTAATTCCTTTTTCAAGGTCTTCTTTATAAATATCACAATTAGAGGTGGGGTGGATAAAGAAATAAAGAGTTTGGATATGAGGGGGTCCATGCATTGCACCGATGGCCATCAATTGGAGGGACGATGACAAGTCCTTTGGGGAGAGAGAGAGAGAGAGAGAGAGAGAGAGAGAGAGAGAGAGAGACTCTTCATGCTACGATCGGCCTATTTGTCCCCGGCCTATCGTCTGATCAGAAGTTCACGATGGATATTAATGGCATTATGGTGCACTTCCCAATCTAATGGTGTCTAGGTAGGGAAATTTCAAAGGTCGTGCACCGCATCCTCGCTTTTTCTTACGATCGTTTTACACCCAGTTACAACGATTTGTCGTTCGTGCACTTACTTTCGAACCTTAAGCTGTTGGGAAGAGCGATGGTCCGCTCGCGAGATCAAGTTTAAGTAATGCGAACGGGGCACCGGGAGACAGATTCAACATCCTTGAACGAGCGCGAAAAGCCCATGCCCGATCACTGGGTCCTATGTGATTGCAGAGAATTAGGTCGTCACGGGCTGATACGCAAAGCGCTCGCACCGGCGTGGGCCTGTTGTTGGGGAGGAGCTTTTTCTGGCGGGCTCATCATTGAAGAATCCGGAAAAAGATTTCATCCTCGTTTCGTCGCTTGTTTTCCGGTGCAAACAGTGTGCTCCCTCCCATTCCGTTTTTGGGTGTTCGTTCTTTAGGACAATGTTTCGCCCTTTGCCACGTTTCGCAGACCGCCGTCCCGTAATTGCTGCGTTAACGACGCGACTTCGATTTTGTTTTATCGCCAAAAGCAACTTGAGTCGTATTCTGATCTTGATATGTACTATTAAATGGCTAGTTGTCGATATATGCTATGTTACGGTAAGTCATTTTTGTATATTGTAAATCCGATTTTCCGACATTTTTGTCCTTGAACTTCTGTCGATGGTCCGCATTTGCTATACTTTTTCTGGGAGACTGTTTTTTCAATGCCATTAGCATTTTAAAAGGAGGTATACTTTTTCTGGGAGACTGTTTTGTCAATGCCATTAGCATTTTAAAAGGAGGTCACCGGGGCTGGGATTTCCCTTGTTCATCGGTGTACTCAACACTTCTATGCTTTGGAAGCCCCAAAGATGGCTTTTCCTCGAGAATTTTGATCCATGAACGACAATTTGCACGTGCAATTGAGAGTTTACAGAGCCGTTTATTCGGCAAAACATAACTAGATATATTCTACAAATCTCACATTTACACGATAATTAAGCGGCACCAGATCCGTTTAAAATTTCAAATTTCCCGAACCCTCTCCACCTTATATCCCGTCGCTCTTTACTTCCAATTCCCAATTAAGATTAAAGACATTGCCGCTTCGCTTTCGTCGGGCAAAAGCAGGGTCACGAAAAGTTTGGATGCTGACTTCTGTTCTTGGGATGCCTCTCCGCGACAAAGGACTGTTCGCCCTGTGTAGTGAGAAAGCGACAAAAAGAGAGTGAAGACCTCGTGAAACTCGCAGCCACGCGGCACGATGGTTGTGGTTCTTTTTGCTATGCACAGCGCGCAGACGCCGGCGAGCAAAGAATCCGAGGAGCCGAAGTGAGAAACCACACTGGTTCACGGGCTAACATGGGAAAAGCCATTGGGGCCTCCTCGTGGTTATCGAACGTTCGCCGTCGCCGGTCGGAACCGAGGCGGCTCGACATTTATAGGTTTTTGCATTCCTGCACCATCTTGATTAGTAGACGGCAAAAACCGACCCCAAGAATCAACCCTCAAAACCAATCCAATCCAAACTGAATTAGACTAAGAAAAGCCAACGACTTGAAAATATTTGAAATTGAATTATATCCAATCTTTTAAGTTCGATCCGATTCCAAGACAGAGAAAATCGAAGCTTTAGTGAGCCGAATCTGACTATGCCCAGCCTATGCAAAATTGAAACCAAACTAATCTAAATTGTAGAACACACCGAAACCGAAATGACCATAATAGGTTTGACATGATTCAAGTTGGACCGACTTAAAAGAGGGAAACCTAATCTTTTGTAGGAGAAAATTTTGAAATATTTTGAACATTTTTCCTTGTAAACGTTTGTGGTGTTTCCTTTTTATGATGTTCATTATTTTGATTTCGGAGGTTCTTGTAGCTACCAAAATGTATCGATCGGAATCTATAAAATGTGTCACAATAACTTGGGTTACTTATTACGATTATTTTGTTTTACATAATTTTGCTTTCTTATGATTAGTATAATATGTTATGTTGTTGCAATTTGAAAGATCCATTGTTAACAAGCATTAAAATCGAATTTTAAAATTCAAATTGCTATAAGATAAGATACCGTTACTCAAGAATTGACCTGCTGGTTTAAATTAATTCAAACATGTCCAAACTTGGAAAGATTGAAATTGAAATCGGAATCAAAACGGACTTGTAATCAGATCCAGGAGAACCCAAAACTAGTAATTGCTCCAATTGATCTTAACTCGTATCCGAGAATAGATAACCCTTACATTCTTACAAATCGAAACAACCCGCATCCGAATATGATTCGGAATCAAAATCAACCTAATTGATGATAAATCGGACCCGCTAGTTTCCCATTCCTACTCACGATTGTAGTGGGACTCAAACGGGTCATATTGCTCCTAACACAATCACCACTCTGAGCCTCACTTCTCATTTTGGATTGCTAGGTCATAGATTTTGTACGATCGATTGGCCATTAATTTTTAAAAATATCATATTAAACAAATTAATTTTTCCTAACATAATCACCACCATAGGCATTTAGACTTTGATTTTCAGTTTCACCGAACAGATCGGTTGCAATTGGCACGTGAGGAACAAAGACAAGTGGCAAAACCGTAATATCGCGCTACTGCGGAGGCTACTTTCGTCATTGCGAGGTAATCTGCTGGGAGTTTAAAATCCGCGCGAACTCCCATCGCTGCGACACCAGAAAAAGCCATTAGAGAGCCATGCAATGATGCCGGCCCGACGTACCCTCGCGCTGCTCCTCCAAATCCTCCCGCTCCTCGCCACCGCTTCCCCCGACCCCGCTCCCCGGTCCAACGGCACCGACTTCATCCGCGCCAGCTGCGGCGAGACCCTCTACCCAGACGTCTGCTACAGCTCCCTCTCCACCTACGCCGGCTCCGTGCAGCAGAGCCCTGGCCAGCTCGCCCGCGCCGCCGTAGCCGTCAGCCTCGCCAGAACCCAGAAGATGGCGGCCTACCTCGCCGACCTCTCGCGCCGCAGCGCCGCCGGCCCCGGGGCAGAGCCTAGGCCTGCTTCCGGTGCGCTCCGTGACTGCCTCACCAACATGGGCGATGCGGTCAGCGAGATAAGAGGCTCGCTGAAGCAGCTGCGGCAACTTGGGAACATCAGTGGCGGCGGCGCGAGCCGGGAGGGGTTCAGGTTCCAGATGAGCGACGTGCAGACGTGGATGAGCGCCGCCCTGACGAACGAGGAGACGTGTACGGACGGGTTTGAGGACGTGCGAGAAGGGGCGGTGAAGTCGGACGTCTGCGGTCGGGCCGGGGAGGTGAAGAAGGTGACGAGCAACGCATTGGCGTTGGTGAACAGCTATGTGAATAAGGAGGCACCATGAGCGAGATGTTGTAGATAATGGAGATAATGAAGTAGTTCATTTCTTTTCCCCATCATTTTGCATTTTTTCCTCTTTTTTGTCGCTGCCTGGAAATCATTTCATTTTAGGTTCAGAATTGATAATGTTTCTTGTTTTCTTTCCTTAAAAAAGATGGGAACATATATAGTCTAGAATATAATTACTGCCATCAGACAACTTTAAAGTCGATTAATTTACAAGTTACAAATTTATGTAACAAGTTCCCGTGTTAACAAAAATGTCATTTACTGTGATCCGATTCACGTGAGCCTAATTTACACGAAACAGAAACATTCGAGGGCATCTTCACTATCGACCGACACTAAACATTTTTTAAAGGATGTTTAACATTCTATGAAACACGTGACTGTCTGTGCCTACGCTATGTAGAAAGTGCAAGCCATAAGAAGTCATATGTGCACATTTTTGACATGTGCAGTCACCAGAGATTTGAGAATTACTAATGTACATAAGTGATAAGTCCGCCAAATGCAGGAGTTATATTCATGTAGATGCCACTTCTATGGCCCGTTTTTTGCTAGCAATTTTGTATGACATGTGCATACACGATGTTTACTTCAACACAGTATCAGTATTTAGTTGAACTTAGTTATGGATATTTTAAGCAAGTTTCGAAGTATAAAAGATAAAAGCCAAGCGATATAGATCAACTATCAATCGAGCGACTAACACGTAAGTAACTTTTGAATTATCTGAGCAATGATCACACAGAAAGAAACACCGGCATACCCGAGCTATATAAGCAATCGGCTTGCATAGGTCAAAGGCATCGTTTAAGTAATACATACTAACTACCTAGAAATGTAAGGGATGAATTTTTAATATTATCAACTATAAACAATTTTATGTTTAGGCCAATCACACGAGTTTCGGCTCGCATCCTACCTAATTGATGAGGTTCGTAGACTATTTTATAAGAAAATATGTGCATAGAAAATTGCCGCATTCTCTTATTTGATAGAGGCGGCTAGGCTCCGGCACGTATTGATGTATAGTGTTAATTTATGAGGAAATTGGAATTAGGGGTTATTACTTTTATTGTGTAGTGTTAATTTCTAGGGAAATATATATAAAATATGAATCTCATCTTAAATTTAGGGTGTCCTAGTCCTTGAACATCATTAACATCTTGGTCACTAGGAACTTGAATCTCATCTCCGAGAAATGAACCATGCGACGGCGTTAGGAGATTATCACGCGAAAATGAAGTATTCCATACCATCTGTGTCTGCCTAGCGTAATTAGTGCACATCGTGATCTTTCGATCTCGCATATTCATTGCAATCCTTATCGCTTTCCTAATTGTACGGCCTTCACTAACTTTGGATTGCATATCACTGCCCTATTTTTTCGCACTATCTCATGTATACGCGGTGCCATGTTCTTCAATCATGATGGTCCTACGAGAAAGACCAATCGAGTGTAACAATGGTAGCTCAAATTAACCAGTGTACCAAATCGATATTCAAGCCAGTGAGAAAAGAGAAACTACATATTAAATTATTGTTAATGCCTATATAATAGCCATTTAAACAAACCGGTTCTATTCAAAACAACAACATAAATTCACCACATGATTTGGATTCGCATTAATCATCTGTACATGTGCGTGATATTATTCATCTGATGACGAATGCAGATGAGCCACCTCGATCCCTTAGCCGAGGAAAGTGCAAACTGCGACAGCATGTTAGGCATCCATCATGACAAATCCTAATGATCAAGATGCGGTTCTATTCAACTCTTTAGGGAAATTTAAGGACAATCATATAGGGTATGGAGACAAAGGGAGAGGAATATTGTTTCGGTGGAACGTCCATAATCTCTCGTGGGGTCAAAATGAGCAAGAGCAGCAGCATCGCCCATTCTATTACTATTTGAGGAAAGTTGTCGCCATTTGTCATTGGGGTCCTTCGCTCCATTTAATTAACTAGTCACGGACAAGAACGTACACTAATCATCATTTCCTGCTTCTGTTTCTACTAACCACGGCGAATGCATCTGTTAAGGCAACGAGTGGTTGGGAATCAATGGGCGTGGAATGGGTGGACCCTCAGGTGTCGACTTGTGGGGTACTTGGAAACATGACACTCATGGAGGAGGAGGAGTCTGATCAATTAATTCACTATCGAGCTTGTGATTATTCTATGCGAAGTTGCTCGCAATTGATCCTAAAGGCAGGAGATGAGTTGAACACGATGCTCGATCATTTGAGGGAAAATGACATAAATGGATCATGAATTTTGGCCCAATGTGCAACGTGATCCATGAATTTTTAATTAATTTAATGTAGTTCTTGAACTGTAACTCAATATTCAATGTAGTCCATGAACTTTCAATTTATTCAATATGGTCCTTGTACTTTTATTACAAGTTCAATTTATTTCCCGAACTATGTGAAAATGTTCAATGTTGTCCATGAACTTGAATTAATAGAACGACAACATTGAACATTTTCATAGAGTTCATGGAGTAAGTTGAACATGTATCAAAAGTTCAAGGACTACATTGAGCAAATTAAAAATTCAGAGATCACATTACACGTTAGGCCAACATTCGAAGATTATTTGTGTCATTATCGATTTTCAACCTACAAAGCTCAATCACAAAGGGTGGTACCTCTATCGGGAAGGCCCATATCGGTGCATGAGACTGCCAAATCACGTACGGCCCCATGATTGGCATCCAAGCTAAATTTGAATGAGTAATATATGATAAGATTAGAAGGATCATTTTGACTTTTAGCGACGATTTAGACAGAGCCAGATGCTGCACGTGAAGCGAATAGACTAGAGAAGAGAGGGGTCAGGAGTTCACACTAGACTTTGCAAAATCGTGTCTCAATTTGAGGGGAAATGTGCTTCGAAAGGTTCACGGGATGCTCAACTTGTTTGCGCCCTGATAGGTCCTAGATTTGTAGAGCCATGTCCTCCACTGGTTTTTAGCTTATAGAAGCTCTATCTTCTCTAGTGCTTCTTAATCATTAAGTGTGATAATAGAAGGGAAATGATCCAAAAAGGCTAAGCAGTTTTTCAAAATGACATGCCTTTTGAAGGTGTTTATCAAACTTGCCTGCATTTTTGGGTTGCATTTTTCTTAAAAAGGGAAAAAAAAACGAAAGATAGAAATCCTCTCTATTTAGGGTCAAATTAATCTTTTCAATTTACTCCATCTAAATAAACGAGACATAAGCAAGTAAATACCAGACTTTGCCACGTGATTGTGATGCTCTCACGCTCCCGGAAAGAACCCATCCATTAAACCGTAGTCTCAAACTTCTCTTTCTCTCCGTGCATGCCACATTATCGTGATGCCCTTACGCTCCCGGAAAGAACCCATCCATTAAATTGTAGTCTCAAACTTCTCTATCTCTTCGTGCATGCCACATTACCGTGATGCCCTCGCACTCCCAGAAAGAACCCACCCGTTAAACCGTAGTCTCAAACTTCTCTATCTCTCCGCGTACGATATGACTCGGGTGCCGGGCGGATTTGGGCTTCTGGGCTGCCATTAATGCATCCATCCCCAAAATTCTGCCACCTCGAGCGGCATCTATCCTTCGCCGTTGACTCCACATCAGAGGTTGATGGCGGCCGCCGAACTTGTGTCGAGAACCAACCGTTGCATGTCAATCGCGGCGCGTGTGGAGATTAGAGTTTTGGTGGGTTTGGAAACGATGGCTTCCCATACAATTGGTGGGCTCAGATTAATTGTGACAATTGGATTTCAATTAAGCTGATGAGCCAATTCATTTAGATGGGTTAATCCTTTTTAATTAATTTGAAATGGAAGATGTCATTTAGAAAGATGGAAATAGTGTAGACGCATATCCTAGTCATTCTTTTTGGGCCGGACACAGCCCTAGGTCTTCTTACTCACTCCATCTTCCATCGAGACTGTTGGACGTGATCCTTTGCTGTCCAAAACCCAAATCACTATTGTTGTGATGTCAGCTCTCGGCCCAATTTAGTTTAAGTTAGAAGTTGTAATCGTATCATTTGCCACGTCTAATTATCCTCCATCCACAATTAACACAAGACTTGTCTACCCAATGTCTTCTTAAGTGAATATATTGGAGATAGTCCACCATAGCTCTTTAGTTCAACAATATAGGAAATTGTGGATAAGATGTAAAAGTCAGGATATATTAGCATAGGTTTACATAATAGAATGTAAACGTAAACAAAAATGGAAAAACGTCTCGACCATCTAATTGAGAAGACGAAGTGATTTTGAAAAGTTTCGCAAATTTGAGGAAGGATTTCTCACTCTTCCCGTGTTATGAACTTCTTTTGAGTTGTGTGCTTGGCATAATTACAACGGCAGACCAATCTATGTATGATTCGAGCATGATCGCCAAGCAGGATGTTTTTTTTTGGTCGAGCTAAGTGGGATTTAATCCGGACTTTTTTAGGTACTATCGGAAGATTTCAAGCGTTGGATACATGAAATGTTGTTGTGTGGGCCATGAGGAGTATTTGTGCCCTACACGGTCTAATGGTTGAGATATACGAGGAATAACGCCCGCGGAGCCTGTAAATGTAAACCAAGCTTACGCACGCATAAGATTGATTGATAGCGCAAGACTTGACATCCTGTAATCGCCACTAATGTTGTGGATAATTAAGTTTCTCCAAATCTGGGACCACACCGTCTTGCGTCATTAGGAAATTCTCATACTTGAAAGACGATAAAACTCTCTTGGCCATGGGATACTGTAGCCGATTTAGATTGGTATATCAAGACCTTTCTACATTATATAATGCTTGGAAGCAATTGGCACAGCGGGAATAATTTAAGAAGTTCATCAAGCTTTCGAGAATTCACGATTTCGACATTTAAATGCGACGAAATGCAAATTATGAGACGTGTTATAGTTTATCGATTGAACTTCGTCACTCATGCATGTCCTTCAAAGGGAGTAAGAGACATGCTAGTGCAAATTAGTAATTCACGACCGGTGTTCAGTAAATAACTAATCGTGCACGCGTCGTCAAGCTCTTCGTTTTTC